CAGGCACTCCCTATTCCCCCCCCACAACACCTCCCACTCCCACCCCCAACCCTAAGCAACCATGACTTCACTTCTGTCTCTGTCGATTCCCACTCTTCTGGACATTTCATATAAATGGAATCTTATATGATCTTGTATCTTGCTGCTTTTATTTAGCATAATGTTTTCAAGGTTCATCCATGTTGTAACATGGATCGGTACTTCATTCTTCTTTTATTGCTGAATGATGTTCCACCATATGGCTAGACCACATTTTATTTATCCATTCGCCAATTGATGGACATTTGGGTTGTTTCCACTTTTTATGGCGAATGCTGCTGCGAAGAATCATGTACACATTTCTGTACAGACATAGGTTTTCATTGTCCTCTTTTTGTTGTTTGGTCCTCCTTTACTATCTTCTTTTGATTTAAATAGATATTTTTTAGCATACCTTTTTTAATTCCTCTGGTTTTCATTTGTTTGTTTTACTGTATATATTTCAGTGACTTTCTCAGTGGTGGTTCTAGTTGCAGAATCTTGAAGGAAGAGCAGAAGCTCAGCAGGCTGGGAGTAGTGTCCCGGGGAAGAGCAAGATGGAAGGAAGCATCCTATGAAGTGGGAACAGAATGTGTGAAGACAAGGGTTAGCGAGGACCTGGTGGGTGCAGATAACTTCGAGGAGCTGTGTGTCGCTCACCAGGAATGCTGCCTCCAGGGAGGTGTTAAGAGAAGAGATGGAAGGCAGGGGATGCGTACTGATAGGCCATGTTTCCCATAGCTAAGGACTTGGGCCTTAATCCTACAGTGGGGGTTTCTAGGTAGTTGAGTGGCATCATCAGAGTCCTTGCTGGCTTCAGGGAGGAAGGTGGGATGGATGAGGAAGAGTCCAGGTTGGGGATATCAGTTATGAGTCTATACAAATGGTTCTGAGGAGCTTCCCAGTTTACTGGAAGACTTTCTTTAAGGCTGATGGAACATTTTCTTTCCAGTGTCAGGGCCCAGCAAGTCTGGGTTGGGAGAGATGCTTCCACTGCCAGGAAACATTCTCTCCTGTGGGCATTTTGTCCCAGGCATTAGGCAGTGTCACTAGTTATCCTGAGGGCAGGAACTTTGAAACTTACTAAATCCAGTTAACTTGAAAGTGTTTCCATTAAAGTGATCCATTGTTTAAGAATCCTACAAATACAATAAGATGTAAAATGGAAGTAAGGAATACAGTTCTTGGGAAGGAGACACAGTTACCAGTTTCTGTAGAGAACAATCATTATCTAAAAAGCAGATACAAAAGGCAGATACTGAGTTTAACAGATTTTTTTTTTTTTAATTTCCCTATCATCTGAACCTCCATTTCTATTTGAGGAATTCCTCACTGTGGGAACTTGCAGTGGGCATCTCCCCCCCCCCCCCACTGAAGTGGAAATGTCCATTCTCCCTACTCCCTGGCAGCCAGAGCATGGACCTAGACCTTGCTAGTTGGCTGTTCCCACCCAGATTTTGCACGTAAAGACAGCGTCTCAATTATCTATTGCTGCATAACAAACCACCACAAAACTCAGCTGCTTAAAACAACCACCACCATTCATTTGCACACAGTCCTATAAGCTGATTAGAGCTTGGTGGGGATGACCCATCTCTGTTGCATGTGGCTTCAGCTGGGGCAGTTTGATTGAAGCTGAAATGTCTGGGGAATGCCCGGGCCTCTCACTCTCCATGGGCTGTCTTGGGCTTCCTCACAGCATGGCGGCTGGATTCTTGGAAGGGGCATTCTTGTGGAAGCTGCAAGGCTTCCTTAGAAATTGCACAATGTGGGCGCCTGGGTGGCTCAGTTGGTTAAGCGACTGCCTTCGGCTCAGGTCATGATCCTGGAGTCCCTGGATCGAGTCCCGCATCGGGCTCCCTGCTCAGTGGGGAGTCTGCTTCTCCCTCTGACCCTCCTCCCTCTCATGTGCTCTCTCTCATTCTCTCTCTCTCAAATAAATAAATAAAATCTTAAAAAAAAAAAAGAAATTGCACAATGTCAGTCTCACTTTTATTGCCTAAAGCGAGTCGAAATGCCAGCCCAGATTCAAAGAGGTAGAGAAATAGATTCCACTTCTTGAAGAGGGAAGGAACTGATGCAGAGTTTGCAAGTTGTCACAGGGAATGACAAAGATACAAGAACAGTTTAATGTTTATTCTGCTGGTAGCACCTAGAATTCGGTGGTCGGTGACAGCAGTACCAAGAACAACACTCAGGATAGCAGCATCGGGGCGCCTGGGTGGCTCAGTTGGTTGAGCGACTGCCTTCGGCTCAGGTCATGATCCTGGAGTCCCGGGATCGAGTCCCGCATTGGGCTCCCTGCTCGGCGGGGAGTCTGCTTCTCCCTCTGGCCCTCCTCCCTCTCATGCTCTCTGTCTCTCATTCTCTCTCTCTCTCAAATAAATAAATAAAATCTTAAAAAAAAAAAAAAAAAGGATAGCAGCATCAACGCTGGCATTTATTCAGACTGTTTTAGGATAGATTCTTTTTTTAAAATTATTATTATGTTAATCACCATACATTACATTAGTTTTAGATGTGGTGTTCCATGATTCACTGTTTGCGTATAACACCCAGTGCTCCATGCAGAACGTGCCCTCTTTAATACCCATCACCACGCTAACCCATCCTCCCACCCCCCTCCCCTCTAGAACCCTCAGTTTGTTTTTCAGAGTCCATAGTCTCTCATGGTTCGTCTCCCCCTCCGATTTCCCCCCCTTCATTCTTCCCCTGCTATCTTCTTCTTTTTTTTTTTCTTAACATATATTGCATTATTTGTTTCAGAGGTACAGGTCTGTGATTCAACAGTCTTACACAATTCACAGCGCTCACCATAGCCCATACCCTCCCCAATGTCTATCACCCAGCCCCCCATCCCTTCCACCCCCCACGACTCCAGCAACCTCAGTTTGTTTCCTGAGATTAAGAATTCCTCATATCAGTGAGGTCATATGATACATGATTTTCTCTGACTTATTTCACGCAGTATAATACCCTCCAGTTCCAACCATGTCGTTGCAAATGGCAAGATTTCATTCCTTTTGATGGCTGCATAATATTCCATTGTGTGTGTGTGTGTGTGTGTATATATATATATATATATATATATACCACATCTTCTTTATCCATTCATCTGTCGATGGACATCTTGGCTCTTTCCACAGTTTGGCTATTGTGGACATTGCTGCTATAAACATTGGGGTGCACGTATCCCTTTGGATCCCTACATTTGTATCTTTGGGGTAAATACCCAGTAGTGCAATTGCTGGATCATATGGTAGCTCTATTTTCAACTTCTTGAGGAACCTCCATACTGTTTTCCAGAGTGGCTGCACCAGCTTGCATTCCCACCAGCAGTGTAGGAGGGTTCCCCTTTCTCTGCATAGGATAAGTTCTTAGTCCTATTTCCAGCTTACCAGGTTCCCTTCTTCTATTTTTTGAACCTCATTTTCCAGCCTTCCCATCCATTTTAGAGCCACATGATATGCTTTCAATAAACCCCATTTCTGCTTAATTGAGTCAGAGCCAACTCCCAGTGTTTGCATCTAAGAACACTGACTCGTGCCCCAGTCAATAAGAGAATGACTTAAGAACTATGTAGTAAAATAGATAATTTACAAAAGAGGAAATGCACACAATAAACACCTGAAAAGTATTCTCCCTCATTAACAATAAAATCAAAACACATCTAAATTAAAACAGTAACAACAAGATGCCTTTTTTTTTTGCTATCAAATTTCACGTAAATTAATGTGTTCAGAGTTGCAGAGGGCACAGTGAGGTAAACTCTCTTAGACCTCTGGCTGGATTGTAAACTGGTCTAACTTCTTCCTGGGGATTTTTGGGGCAGTATTTATCAAGAATCTTTAAATGAATCATTCCTTTTAAATCCTTTCCAAGAATCTAGTCGAAACAAACACTTAGAAATGTAGATATAAATGTACGCATAAGGATTTCCATACCAATGTTACATTTTAGCAGACACTGGAAACTCAAATGATGCAAGCCCATTACGGTGTGATGTAATCCGATACTATGCGGCCATTAAGAACCGTTTTCTAAAGAACCGAAGATACAGGAGAACTTTTATAGAATAATATCAAGCGATAAATTAACCCAGAATTATTGATGTGACATATAACAGGATCTAATCGAGAAAGTCAACCACTCTAGGTATTTTGAACAAAGGGAATTTATTATAGGAAATGCTTCACAGGTGATGGAAAGGCAGAGAAGCCAATCATTATGTGGAAGCAACCCGAAATGAGCAACAGTGGGAAACCACTTCATTCCCAGGGCTGGAGAAGGTGGTGTTGCCGGAAGTTGGGCAGTTGGTGGAGGAAAGTTCCTCAAAGCAGAGAGAGGGACAAATATCTTGGCTTATCCCTTCTCACTTTCCGGTCTTTCACCCATGCCTCCCATTAGCCACACCTAGCCAGAAGCCAGGTGGCTGTGGAGCCAAGGGCAGGAAATGGATCGGGGCAGGTAGGTAATGACTCTGCCACACAGCATGGTCTCAACTAGATACAGATTGTGCATATTAAATGTTGTTAAAAGTAGTTATTTTTGCTGATGGGATTATATAGGATTTATTTTCCTATGTTCTTCTGTATATTCTCAAGAACCCAAACAATTTTAATAAAAAAAATGGCAAGTGTGTGGGGGAGATGCCAAATAACATTTTTATGAAAATAAAAAGTATGTAAGTATGGATGTGATACAAACAACAGAATTGTATTGTAGACACTGGGTCTCTCTCATTAAGCTCCAGACTTTTGTCAGGGGCCTTCCAAGGGCTGGGTGTTCACGCTTGGTGGGGGCCAGCAGGGGGCGCTCCAGCCCTGCACAACAAGGCCTCTGGCTGAGACTGACAAACTGGGCTTTCCAGGGCCTTTGTAGAGCAGGACCCTAAGGGGGACATTGCCCTGTTGGCTAGCCAGGGGCCCCAGAGGTTTGCCTCTGCCAGTCTGTCTCAGAGCTGCCCCTTCTTCCCATTATAGGCTATCGGGAGGACTCCTGAGAAAGCCAACCACCACCAGAACTCGTGGAGCCTTCCTTGTCCCTTTGGAGTGTTTGGCATGTGTGTCCATTGAACCTTGAGCCTTACTGTATTGGTTATGCTTGCACGGAGGAACCAGTGGTCACTGGGTAGAGCTCTCAGCCCTAAGTGTCATATAAAAATAAATGCTCTGTGCAACCATCTTGGCTTTTTCCTAAACAAGTACTTCAAATTGATGAGTGCAAGACTCCACATTTTACAAGCAAGCCCTCTTACCTAACATGACCGACTCTGAGAGATCAGTCTGGGTCACTTAACCAGCAAAGAGCCAGGAGTTGTGAGAGCTGAATTATTCAGGACAATTCTTGGCAGTTAAGATGTGTATCACCACTGTTGGGTACTTCTGCTCTCTTCTCTTTGTCTGCTGTCCTGGGTCCACAAAGCGCCCCCCCCCCCCCAAAGGTGCAGGCTGAGCTGGGCTGGAATTCCTGCCTGCCTGAAGTTCCCCCAGGGTCTTTTTAAGACCCATAGTTTTTGCCGGACATCTATACACAGGCCTTTAAGGGTCACGGGAGATAATTCGAGGGAATGGGGATGCTTTCCCAGGGGAGAATGAGTCTGACTTTGAGTTGTGGACATTGCCAAAATGTCCCGGGGCTCTGATATTGAAGGTGCCTGTAGCCCCATGAGCAGCCTCCCTGGTCTCTGCCACTAGGGCTCCCACAGTGAGTGCTTTCAACCTGCTGCTGGTGCAGAAACTCTGTGGTAAGAGCTGGGTCCTGCAGTCCCCTCCAGGACCGCCATGGGTTCTGGGTTGTGTGCGGTGTGTGTGTGTGTGTGTGTGTGAGTCTGGTGTATTGTTAGAAAATCCAAGAGAGGTCCGGTGAGGCAGAGGAATAATTCCATGTAATTCTGGATAGTTTGTCCTTTCCCTCCCTCCCTCCCTGAGAGCGCATGCTTTTATTTATGTGACACCCCCCCCCCCCAAATAAGTACAGAATGCTTTATACCTTTATGCTTTTCTGTTTGGGGAAATGAGATAAAACCTCTTAAAGGAAAAGATTGCTTTGGTGAAATGTAAATAAAGAGAGTGCTAGGAAAAACACAGATACGAAGGGTAAGAGAAGGTAATGGATGTAATTTCAGTTGTGAAAAATGAGCATGTTTTCATCAACGTAAATTATTTCAGGCATGAAAAATTGAGTCTCTGAATAAGCATCAACTCAGACTGATAATGTTTGCAAGTGTTGATCTTGGAAATTCTCAAGGTACTTTGCAGAGCCGAGAGTTGTGTTCTCTGGGTTGATGCCTCAGATCAGCTCCTTTCTGTTAAGTGTGGTTTTCTTGGGTTTTATTTAATGCCTTATTTATTATTGAGCTACAATTCACATACAATAAAAGTGCATTCTTGTTTCTAAAGTAGATCGCTATTTTATAAGATGTGAGCATAGAAAGTTTTATATTTATGTTTATTTTCTGGATTTCTATTTTATATGTATATTTTCTGAGTAACCTTATAGATTTTGTGTTTAATTGTACCCATGTGGCAGGTACTCAGTAATTATAAATTCATTTCATGGGGCAAAATATATTTTTTTGTGTTTTCCTTTCTGTGGGAACCCCATTGGATCATGTCTAATTCTGAGTGTATATCAGAGTATAAACAATGGCAGAGAGTAGATGATCCAAAATATTTATCCAAGTAAAACACTGGATTCTAGAGCTTATTTTTCTGTATAATTTTCTGTAATTAAAATGATCAATACTTTTATAGTCTGAATTTTATAGTAAGGATAATTTTATTTATTTATTTTTTATAGTAAGGATAATTTTAAACGAATCCTCAAAATTTTGGTTTTAGAAGTAACTCAAGAATTCTTTTTCTCTATAAGGAGTGTTTGTACAACTTGTACCTCTGTGTCTAGCTTGTTTATCTTCTCTAACATACTGGCTTTTGGGTTCAGTCCATTTTATTAAAAAATCTACTTTAGAGCTAAAATCCTTTATTAAGAATTTCTTAATCTAGGGGTTATAGAGTGGTAGAGAGAGAATTACTTCCCATGATTATTCCTTGTTATTATTCAAAAGTTTTACCAAGTGCATGTATTACTGTTCCAAAAATAAAATGGAAAAACTTTCAGTAATCAAGGCAGGAAAATATTTTGATCCACGTTAGTGTTTTCCTTACTGTAATTCTTGCCATTTTAAATACTTTCAAGAATGGAACTGGACAAATGGATGTGAGCAATTGAAGAGAAGCACCTTGATTAACTAAAGCGTGTATCTGTCCCCAAACGTGCCCTTGTGAATTTATTTTAGACAGCTGGTCCTTAGTCCAGAACAGCGAAACAAATGTATTTCAGTGGTTCACATGTCACTTGGCAATAAAAGATAATTTAAGATTCTGAGAAGTATTTGCTATAACTGGTAAAATTTTACCTTTGAGATCAGTTCACACTGTTGGGAAGTGGTTAGTTTTTGTGTTCATCTGGTTAAGTAACAGCGCTTTACTTTGGGTGCTGGAGAAGGGTCTGCACGGCTGCGGATGGTCTGACCAGGGCCTGGCACAGACCCGGTCCTTAGGAGGGATCGGTTTAATCTGAATCAGAAAATAAGACAACAGTTTAATTCTGACTTCCACCATGCAGCAAGTTGTTGCCAAGTGGTTCCCCTCCTTTTCCTGTTCCTGAATATATGGGAAAAATGATATTCTGTTTTTTTTATTCTATAACCTTAATACAAAAAAATGTTAGAAGTACTATTTCTTTTCTTTTTTCAAATTTTATTTTTTTTCATTATTAACATATGATGTATTATTTGTTTCAGGGGTACAGGTCTGTGATTCATCAGTCTTGCACAATTCACAGCGCTCACCATAGCACATACCCTCCCCAATGTCCATCACACAGCCACCCCATCCCTCCCACCCCCTCCACTCCAGCAACCCTCAGTTTGTTTCCTGAGATTAAGAGTCTCTTATGGTTTGTCTCCCTCTCTGGTTTCGTCTTGTTTCAGGGAAAAATGATATTCTAGCAAAAATTTCAAAGGAAGAGAATTCAAATCTTGTACTTTGATACAGTCATCTTAGCATTTTTGTTGGTGTTTTTTTTCCCTCATCTTTGTTCATAAGCACATAGTTTTTTACACAGAGCTAATTGTAAGGTGTGTGGAATTCCACACCTCGCTTCACAAATGCCTCATTGAGTTTTCCATGTTGCCGCACAGACTTGAGAAGCCTCCTTTCAAGAGTGTAAGTTAGTCCATTGAGTTTGCTTTCCATGATTTCCTTGGCCATTTCTCCTATTGTTGGGCATGTAGGATTTTTGTAATGTTTGGTTTTTAGACAAAATGGTTGAGTTAAAGGGAGTGGAATTTCTGTGGCTTTTGCTATGTGTTACTAAATTCCTCCTCAAAAGGTATACCAATTTACAGTGATAATGGAGGGTTTCACAAGTGTTCTTTTTCAACTATGGGAGGATTGTTTTACAGTCTATTTCCACACCTTTGTATCCCTCCCCTCCAGCCAACAGAAAAGTGTTTCAAGGTGAGGGAGGACATACATACGTACATACATACATACATACATACATGTATGATTACTGTGAGTGAGTAAGCCTCACATACTGAATTCTACAGTATTACCTTACTGAGAAATACAGAAACAACCCACTTAGCTCCAGGCCTCAAGTTAAGCCTTAGTTCCTTTTTGATAACCCCATTCTGCTAAGTTTTTGTCATAAACCCTGTGGAGTTAAGTGGAAACTTTGACTTTCTGTTTCTGACTGTGATTGCAGGTGTCTGTCTAGAAGGAGGGAGTTGAGGGAAATTGTTCACACCAGTCTCATTACCCAACATGGAGTCAGCAAGGAGAGTGGGCCTGTGAGCCCATCACATGTAGAAAAAACAGTTTCATTTCACATTGCTGATGAGGCAAAAAGGTGCACACACCATGTTGCTTTTCATGAAACGAAATTCTGCTTGGAGCCCTGGGAGTTGTTCTGAAGGTTGCATATCATAAGCTTCCCAAGAGTTTCCTTGAACATTGTTTGTGCGACCACTACTCAACATGGTGTAGAGCATAAACAGGTGTTTTTAATCCTCCATTTTATTTTCGATGGGAGAAATGACTCAGTCAGCATCACATAGGAGCAGAACCAGGACCAAAGATAAGTCTGCTTTCAAATCCAGTGTCATTTTAGTAGGTTTTATTTCCATTTTGGGCCACTGGACTCTTTAGTTAAATTAATTTATTTATGTTACTTATTTGAGAGAGAGAGAAAGCAGGTGAACAGGGGGAGAGGCAGAAGGAGAGGGAGAAGCAGGCTCCCTGCTGAGCAGGAATCCCGATGCGGGGGCTTGATCCCAGGACTCTGAGATCATGACCTGAGCCGAAGTCAGACACCCAACCAACTGAGCCACCCAGGTGCCCCAAGCCACTTGACTATTTTAAAACATGCCATCTGAGGTTATACATCTCTCAGCATCCACAGCATGGATGAAGAGACTAGATCAGTTGCCTTGGTGATTTCGTTCAGTGTTGACACTCAAACCAGGATACTTAGGGATTTCTAGATTTAATTTATGCTTTCTTCTGACTATATTGTTCGTATAATCTGGATAATCTTCTAAGCTTGCTCTTGGATTCTGTTGGTGTATTCTCAACATCTGTGTGGGTGAGCACACGTTTTAGGTGGTAAGCTCCTACGGGTCTATGGAGGCCTGGCACAAGGTGCATATGTCAGGGGAGTCATAGCTTAATCTGCACTGTGGGCCCAGTCTCTGGCAGAGTGTGATCTTAATTTCTCTTTGACCAGTCATCTTCCTTAGGGCAGTACCTCTTCATATGCCTTTTCATTTGGTGAAACTTTAACAGTGTTCTCAAATGAATTTTGCCAGGCCTCTTTTCATATTAAAGTGGCTATTTCCACATTGTGGATACCAAATAAGATTCAAAGAAAGAATCTTAAAAATTCTTCATATTGTCATGTGGAAATCATAGCATTTTAGATCTGTAAGGGAGCTTCTCTGTCACTCAGTGCAACCCCCTCATCTTAGAGACTGGGAGACTGAGGCCTGGTGACATGCTCAAGGTTGTTAGCAAGGTGATGATCTAGGAGGGACTCCAGTCCACTGCTTTTAAAGACTGCATAGCAAGCATCAGATGCTTGCTCTTCTACAAAAGGGGAGCAGACAAAAGGAAAAATGCTCTAGGTCAGAAATCAGAGGCAAATAATAGCTACAGAGCCCCCTATAATTGTAAAGTCCTTTGTAAGCTCTTGTAGATACAGAAGTAGGAATATATAAAATGAAATTTAGTTGATATTTTATGAAATAGATTCTTAATTTGCCAACAGTTTGCCCCTTTGTCATACCTTAGTAACTTGTTGTGAGTTTCTGAAGTGACTTCTGAATTATTAAAGAAAGAAAATTCCTAAAGAAAGGAAACCAGATCTACTGGTTTTATTCTACTCTAGCCATAATCTTTTAAAATCTGTTCAATTTATTTTAATTAGAATAACCCATTCCTTAAGTGGGACAGTTAACAGGGAATTTTCTGAGGTCACTTAACAAATTTTGGCTATTTCCCTAGCTGTGGGTATTTTTATTTTATCTTTTGCTAAAGAAATATGGTTTGTGGATTTTGATAACTGCACACAACAGATTTTAAATTATCAGGTAGTGATAGAGCAAGGTGGTCTGATGACATGATTTAAACTAAAACTCACAGAATCCTTTGCACTTGAATGGCAGGTTCTTGGGAAGAGGAGGGTACTAGAGAGTGGCCTCTGAATCATCAGTGGGGCCCCAAGGACAGGAATGATTGCTCATGTTCCGAAATGAAGAACTGACAGTGAAGGGTTTTGAAAAATTAGTTAAAGCAATGCTTGCATATAGGTTGATAAAAATAACAAGAGTAGTTACCTTTACTTAGGCACTTACCTACGCTTTCATGTTGTCCTTACAATAACCTCCAGAGAGGTGCACTGTTATCTGAAAATTACAGATGAAGAGACTGAGGTTTTGATAGTGTTAGTCTCAAGGCCAGTCAACCAAGTTAGTGGCAGAGGTGGATTCAAAGTCATGTCTGCTTAGCTCTGAAGTCCATAATCTTTCCTTTGTAGTTTTATTATACTCAAGAAACCATGATTAATTTTTTTGTGCTTTTCTTGTCAATTGATTTCAAATGGAATGATTTTCTTTTTTTGGACGTGCTGAGTAGGGAGTATGGGCTTTTAACTGTTCTGCCTCTAACCTATGGCTGGATTGGACCTTCTCTTCTTTCCCATTCCTCCTGCTTAATCAGCACACAGGGGGAGGTGGGGGACTTCATGTGAGTCAGAGTATTAAACATTCCCTATCACCAACTTTGCCTTATTTTTCCCCTTGGTAGTATGGGGACAGCTCTGTAGTAATTGAACTGGGAATCTTAGGAGGAGAGGCCCCCACCTCTATGGGGTACACATCAGCAATATTTGGTTCCTCCACTGTGGCTGAAGCAACCTGTGATGTGGACCCTAATGCCAGCCCCATAGTGAGAAAACCCTGTTTTCATTTCTTCTTTTGGCAAGCCCATCTGGATAGAGCAGGTGCAGGGGTGGGTTCTTAAAATAGAAGCCTTTGTTCCATGTGACGTGGCACTATGGAAGCCCTCTTGCTTCTTCACCTGTTCAGATTAATGACAGGATGAAGATCTCTCCCCTCATCATGGCATCTTCCTGACTTCTGTGGGACCTTTCATTTGTCAGTTGACCTCTCTGGTTTCTTCACTTGTAAAATATAGGACTTGTTCTTGGTAACCTCAACTAGTGTCCTTCCTAGCTTTGATATTCTGTATCCATGTTTCTGATTAGAGCTTGGGTCTTTGAATGTACCACTTCTGTCTTGTTTTGTTCTCCCAACAATATTATTCTAGTGGAGTAGCTGGGCCTAAAAATGATTCTTGATGGTTAAAATACATCATCTCACCATCTTGACAATCCCTTTGTTTTCTTTCAGCAACCCTCTCTAAAGCAGGTGCCACATACCACTTAAAAGCTTGAATAAGTTTCCATATATGTGTTTGGGATCACAGGAAACAGTGGGTGATTTAATTTAACATCAGGGGAGGTTATTTCCATGGTAGCTGTTCTTCCTTAAGAATTAAAGATTCCTCTCAAAATTCTAAATCTTAAGAGACTAGATTTTAAGAAATTGATATTTATAAAACTCCTCTGGTTTTTTTCTGAAGGTCAAACCAATCCTTGAGTCTCAGTCTTTTTTTTTTTTGTAAAGTAGGAATAATATCTCCTTCATGGGGTTGTGAGAATTAGCTGACCAAAGGATGGGGCACTGCTTGGCAAGCGTCCGACACATACTAGGCACTCAGAAAATGTTTGTTCACCCAGGATCATATAAGTTCATTTTTTTTTTTTTTCTGTTCATGAGTGCTAGCTATTGATTAGCCTTGAGGCTGAAAAATCGGCCCTCTGATCTCGAGGAGCTAGCAGTGTTTTAATGAGACAAAACAAATATATAGGAAACAATTAAAGAACAGCTCGAGGCAGGACATGACCAATTGCTGCTGCCTGGGGACAAGGTACCAAGGGACTAGGTGTCCCTAGAGCGCAGGCACATTCTCACAGTGATGGTCTGTGAGTCCAGTTTTCAAGGAGAGTGGTGTGCCAGCATAGCTGACCATCCTGAGAAAGAGTCAAGACCAAAGGTTATGGGGTCCAACAATGGGGAAAAGGCTAAGTAAAATTATGTACCAACAATAAGAGAGAATGGTGCATATCATTCAAAATGATCGATATGACCAGTATTGCACTGTATGTTAACTAAAATTTGAATTAAAAAAAAAGAAAGTCACAAGGAAGAGAAAATACATTTATAGTACTATACTGTATTTATATTAAAAAATTCACATATATGTGGACCTGCACAGTTCAAACCTGTGTTGGTCAAGGGTCAACTGTACTTCTGGTGAGAATGTATATCAGAAGAACCGTGTTAGAGAACGATTTGGCAATATCTAGTGAACAATACATATACTTTATAACTTAGCAATCCTACTCAGTCATATTCTATAAGAAACTCATAAGAATGTTCAAAATTATGGAATAGTAGAAATATGGAGGGGTGCCTGGCTGTCTCAGTTGGCAGAGCATGTGACTCTTGATCTCAGAGTTGTTGAGTTCGAGCCCCACATTAGGAATAGAGTCTACTTTTAAAAATTATGGAAATAACTCAAATGTCTGTTGACAGGAGAATGGTGTGGCAGAGATTGCAAGTTGCCCTCCACTCCCAGGGTTCACTTCCTATCCTTTTAAGACCTCTGATTTTTAATGGATGCATAGCCACTCTGAATAAAAACTGTATTTCTCAGCCTCCTTTTCAGCTAGATGTGGCCATTTGACTAAGTTTTGTCAGTTATAAGCAGAAGTCATGTGTATAATTTCTCCTTCCCCCTTGTTTCATCTCTGTGGCTGGAAAATGGAGTTGATGGCGGAGACTGGAGCAGCCGTCTTGGCCTGTGAGATGACTTGAGGAAAGAAAATCACTCATAGCTGAACAATAAGAAAAAGAACCTGGATTCCTGTCACTGTGGAGTGCTGTCCCAGCTCTGGACCACTCATCTCTGGGCTTTTACATGAGAGAGAATTATCATATTAAAAAAAACTCAAAAAACCAAAAAACAACCCCAAAGTGATCAATATGACATCTAAGTAGAAAGGAGAAGTGCTGTGAAATAGTGAGACAGAGAAGTTGAACACAAAATTGTTATAACAATGTGGATTACTCCATAGCTTTGTATTAAGATACATAAATATTAGACAAGAATATAATGTGAGGGATCAAAATAATAGTTGTGTTAGGATTATGGATTTATGGATGAATTTCAAAAATATTCTTTTTAGTAGGCTTTCACTTTTAACAGTTGACACAGACCAACTATTTTGAATAATTTCATTCTGAATAATGACTTGGATTGAATATTATACTAGTCCTTGGGTGAAGTTTCCATCCTTCTCTGGGGCAGGACTTCCTCTGTGATACTCATTGTGAATATGGCTTGAATGGCTTGATTTTTTTAAAGAGAAAAAAGTACAACAAATCCAGTAGATTATGGAGTCCTTTTCCATTTACATTTCTGTAGATCTCCTTCTCAAATTTCCTGCAACCAAATATTAAATCCAAAGGAAGGGAAAGGACTTGGGATCTCTGATTGTGAGCTTCAGGGATTTGGCCTGCTATTTCTCTACAAAATGCCTAGTTTCCCCAAGCATCAGTCAGCCTTATTAAAGGCACATGTCCCTTCAAGAAAAACGAGTATACCAACAGTCAACTTGGCAAATGGATCATTCAGGTGGGGATTTACATTTTACTTTGGCAGACGGACCCTTCATTTTCAAAAGAATTCTACATGTATTCAATACAAAATGTATTCAATACAAAATGTATTGACTTTTCAGGAACACACTGATTTCATGCAGTGACTTACCTTGTGGATAATATGTATACTTAGGCTGGCTCTTCCATAGCATGAGTGAGTGGGTTCTTCTTGTTAAGGGGAAGAATCTGAGGAGATACAACACAGCTCTGACCCTCAGTGGTCTTCCAGCTTTCAATTTGACTTAAGTCACATCATTTCAACCCTGTGCAAGCCAATCCAGTGCAAACTAGTCCAATCTAACCAGTCCAGAAAGCATGTTGGTGTTTGTGTCAGTGAATCTAAGGATCGACATCTACCTCCCCCACCTCCCGGAATTAGAAGTTAACAAAGTGACATGGCTTGGGTTGTCCTAGTTTTGGGTGTCCTTGCCACCACAGGGAAGCCTGGGACCCTTTTCCACTCACTTTGTGTGTCAACTTCTCAAGGCCCCCTTGCCTATGTTTGTTTGAGAATGTAGACTGGAGGAAGGGAAACTAGACAGAGAGCCTCAACATCTCTCTTCTAGTTTGTCTCAACTTCAACTACTAACAGCATTGAGTAAGTCAGTCAACTTCTCAAAGCCTTAATCTCCTAATTTATTAAAATAGAGAGGATAGTCTGATTTTTCTGGGCACTTCTCTCTAGTCCTGGTAGTCTGTGAATTCATCTTCAGCTCTTTTATCCAAACTTCTTGATTAATTCAAACCAAATTACATCCACTCTGATATTTTTAGTTGGCTCTTCTCAGAACATCAGTGTCCAATTTGGTGCTATTCTAATTTTTCCTTATTTGTACCCATTTTTGGGGGCAAGGATTATGTTTTTTTCTACAGACTTCTTAAGGACAGGGCTTGTGATATATAAATCTCCTCATGGTGACTGAAACTCTTGGAACCATTGTCAAAACAACATCTTGGTGATTCTATCCTTTCTTTTAGGGTCTTTCTCATGTCTGTAACACATTCCTACTCAAAAGTAAGAAGTTATCAAAATTTGAAATACCTTCTGGAAGTTTTATAGATCCAATATTTCTTTTTAGAGTTAATGTTGGAAATAATTTCACACACACACATTTCTTGAAAGATTTATTCTTTTCACTAAAGAAGGTTGTTTTATAAACGTGTCTGGACAGAAATACAGAATAATCCTTTACTGTTAGGAAAAAGCAATCATTGTGAGTCATTCAGTCCAAATAAGCAGTTCTTTTCTGTCAGTTCAATGGCTTCTTGCCTCTGGACAAAACACTGTACCCAAAAGTGGACTTATCCTTTCCACTCTGAGTGGAAGTGCCCATTGTGATCAGCCATGACAGAAGTGTGAATGGCTGTGGTGCTGGGTAGGGAGTGGTGTTGGTGGAATTGGATTGGATTATCTGGGGTCATAAGAAATGAAACTTCATTTGTAGCTGGCTGGCTCCAGAAGGTGCAATATCCTATACTTACATGCAACATTTCTTTGGGACTGAAGGCAGCATAGAGCAGGCATGCTGTACAAGGACAGCAAAGGAATAAGAAGACCATCCTTGAAAGCCATGGTTGGGAAGTGGATTATAAGTGCAGCAGGACTTTTCAGGAAGACCTGGGTCATCAGATCCAGTGGTGTAGTTCCAGGCAGATGGTTGTGTGGAGCAAAAAGAACAATGGGCTTGGGCCACCTGGGTGGCTTAGTTGTTAAGCGTCTGCCTTTGGCTCAGGTCATGATCCCAGCGTCCTGGGATCGAGCCCCGTGTCGGGCTCCCTGCTCCACGTCCGGCTCCCTGCTCCGCGGGAAGCCTACTTCTCCCTCTCCCACTCTCCCTGTTTGAGTTCCCTCTCTTGCTGTATCTCTGTCTGTCAAATAAATAAATAAAATCTTTAAAAAAAAACAACAATGGGCTTGAAATCAGAGGGCAGATACCAAAGAGTTGGCTTTTCCACTTGGGCAAGTTTCTCAGTCTTTCTGGTTTGTTTCTTCATCTGTAATTGGGGTAAATGTCACACTCTGTGAGCTGGCGTATCCAAATAACAAACAAAAACAACCAGACACACAGGAAAACAACCCCTATAATAGTTCTATAGACATATATCAACCATCAACAATTCATTATTCATTCGCTCATTTGCTTTTTCAACAAATGCTTGAATAACCACTGCACGGTGCTTTGTGCTAAACACTGCAAAAAGTAAGCAATTGGATAAAGATCAAGGTGTAAAAATTCTAGTTCAGGTCCTCAGTAAATAGTAGATGAATCATAAACTGAAGCATGGAAATAAAGAGTGACTTTCTATAGGTCCTCCAGCTACTTTTATGATTCTCAAATGTTGTTTTGATGTACAGTTTCCCAGTAAAACATTGTGGGTTTCTTTATAATGGACAAAGGGCCCTGCCTCTTAGGAGCTTAACTTTTGATAGGAAATAAAGACAGAGATACTTGGGGCTTACACAAATCAAACACATAAGTGATAGATGGCACATAGAGAATTCAGTAACGTGGGACATCAAGAGAGAGTAGACTCTGGGTGAAATCATCAGATTACCTCATTATTCACAGATGATCTTTTAGAGGAGGTGGGATTTCTTTAGATCAGCTGGAAATAGAACCAATCTTATTAATTTTCAGACATATCTTCAGATAAATAGCTAACAAGAGTTATGAAGTTAAAAAATTTGATGGTCTTACATTTAACATGTGACTCATTATCTTGGAGTATGTCATGAATCTGACAACGTGGGTGAAAAGGTTATTTGCAGCTGTCATATCAGGTAGGCTTGGTGAAAACATAAGCTTTAGGAACTCGTTAAATTTTACTTATAAACTCTTACTACAGAACACAGTAATTGAGAAAAGTATATTCCTCTTTCTTACATAATTATTAGGGGTTACTGTATTTCTGGGCAGTGATGCATATTAAAAACCAAGTTGAGGTTGAGGGTGGAGAGAATCAGTGGCAGGGGTGAGAGACACTATAGACTGAAGCATGTATCTGGGGGTAGGTGTGTGTTGGGGCGAGGGCAATGAGGTTTGGGTTGTGTCATTTTCCACAGATGTCTATTTAGCTTCTCTTGTTCCAAGAAGTTTGTCTTTTTTTACCATCAGGTTAGGAGACGCTGTATCTTCTGGCATTTACAGTCTTAGAAGAGCAGAGAGAGCGTAGGAAGGAGAAGACAAGCTAACATGAGGGCAGGAGGCCTCAGACCCATCCAGCCCCATGGCTGATGAGGCTCTCTTCACTAGTGTTGCAATCCGAGGAAAGCATTCCATCTCTAGGTGGCTGCTCTAGTTAGTATAGTCAGTGGAGACTCATTGGAATGATATCGTCTAGCAATGGGAGCTTGTGTAGTGGGTACAGACCAACTGATCAATCTCTCAATACACAGCAGTTCTCAGGAGCCCATGGCCACAGCCCTCACGGGCAAGACCTCTGATTAGATCTCTACAGAGTCTACTCCATTTCTCTATTTCTGTCTTTTCTCTCTTCCTTGTTACTTCCATCTCTATTATCTTTTGTCTTTCTTCCAGCTCTCTTTATTATCCCTTTCCCTCTAATCCTCTTGTAAATGTACTTTAATTAAATCATAAACATTGGTTTGCTAAATAAAATGTTGCGTGCACACACACACACACATACACACACTATTTTCTATTTCTTGAAAAAAGAGAAGACAGAGAATTAAAAAAAACTCTCCAAAATGTAGAAGCCCAGAGCAGATTACAGTTGACCTTTGAACAACATGGGTTCGAACTGTGTGGGTCCACTTATATGCAGATTTTTGGAGATGAATACAGTACAGTACTGTAAATGTATTTTAGCTTATGCTTTTCTTAATAACATTTTCTTTTCATTAGCTTTATTATAAGAATACAGCATGTAATACATGAAGCATACAAAATACATGTTAATAAGCTGTTTATGTTATCGGTAAGTCTTCTGGTCAGCAGTAGGCTATTAGTAGTTAAGTTTTCCAGGAGTTAAAAGTTAGGCTTTTTTGAGTAGATTTTTGACTGTATGGGGGTTGGCACCCTTTGTTTGGATCAGTGATCCTCAGTCCAGAATTTCCTCATGTCTGGATTATTGTCTTTGGTGGACAACGAAAGAAAATATATATTGGAAACCCATATGTGAAGTTTTAAGTCCGTGGAGAGCACAGTGAAAATTGAATGGGAGTAGATAGGAGGTTCTTCTCATATTATCCAGACCCAGGGAACATCTGAGCATCTGTTGGGGGGACTGAGGATCTTGAAGTTCTCAAGGTGAGTGTTTGTAGGTCATGCTGCTGCCCCAGGGGGCAAGGACTTCTGTGTTCTCCTCTTCCCTGTGCACCTTCCACCATCCACCTCCAGCCCCCAGCACACAGACCAGGTGCTCACAGATGTCTACAGAATGAAAGAATCCAGGAATACCTGTGGGATCAGAAGTTGTAAGAGACTGGATTGAATATATTCTGATTCCCAGGTTATTTATGTATTTTCTTATTCTCTGTCTTTAGTTTTTTCTTTGATATTTGTCTTTTTGCACAGTAAAAGGCAACAAACCAGTTACAAGGAGTAGAGGACTTCAATAAATGAGCTGTCACCCACCTGCTCTTGAACCAAGTGGGTAGGAAGGCAGGTCTCAGTTGGCATGTAGTCTGAGAAGAGTTTATGATGTCTCAGATTCCAGAGCCTTCTTTTCCACAAGGATATGAGATACATACTCAGCTCACTCTCCTTCCAGCTGGGAAGACTGCTGAATGGTTGGACTCCTTGAAATCACATGCTGATGACTGGGGAGCACATTTCCTTTCTTTCAGTATGGAATATTGGTCTTTGGGAAATGCACCTCCCACCTTAATCCCGAAAAACTTTAGCATTCCATTATGGTGTCAGGCAAGCTTGGGGGAAATACACTGAACTTAACCTTATCCTTAGGCCTGTGGGTGAGATAGTGTATCAACAAATAGTTCCTTCACTTTGTGCCTTAGTTCCTCCATCTTTCAGATTGAGAGATTTTCCTTGCCTTGACATGTCAAATAGGTAAAGAGGAACAGCATTGTGATGTATTATTGCAAAATTGGAGGAAATGAAGGTTTCAGGCCAAATTGAAAAAGGCTTCCTTGTGAAATGACTGCAGGGAGAATATCCATTGAGTTCAGCCATGTACTCTAAGAATCTGTTAATAATTGAGAATAAGAAGAGGTCAGATTGAGCACATACTCTGTGGCATGCTTTGTACTAAGTGGATTATGGACAGTGTTTCATTTAATGTTCACAGTGATGCTGAGACAGAGGTTTTACTACTATTACTTTATTATAGACAAAGAACCAGAGTCTTACTTCCAACATGTTATAAGTGATGAGTCCCCATGTCAGAGCTCATAAATGCAAGCTATGACTTCCCGGGTAGACGGCTGGAGCACTGGAGTGCTCACTGGAGTGATTTATGAGGACACCCTTGGTGTCAGTAAGTCCCAGGTTGGCTAATATTTGGGCACGGGGTGAAAGTATGTACCTTCCCTGACCTCCAGCATGTGTTGTGTGTGCTTCCTGTGTGGTTCCGTAGAGCTCCGAGACACCCCACAGTCCATCCATTGTTCTGTGTTGCAATTTCTGCTAACCTGTTTCCACATTAGGCTGGGAGCTCCTTGATGCTGAGGGCTCTCTCTTGTTCACTGTATTGTCTGCAGAATGTAGTACAGAGCCAGGTACATGAAGGTGCTAATCAATGTCT